ATCGGTTGACCCAAGAGAGTAAATTGCAGTCAAGGTGCCTTTTCCAAAGATCTACTCTTCACTTTGCTTTCCTTGAGGTAAAAAGCGTGTTGTGTTGGGTAATTACAGCATGTAAGAAGTGGAGATGTTGACTATGTTTTATTTCTCCCCCAAGGCCCATTTTATTTCCACAGTCCTGAAAATGCTTCAGCCTTGGAGAGGAGCCCATGCTTGCATGCTGCCCATTTTAACCATCACCCTCAAAGGTGATTTCATGCTGAGGCAGCAGTTCTTGGGGACTCTGGTGTAAAGCAGACAGTATTATTTGTCAGAGCCATTCTCTGGTCACAAGCATTTTTAATTAAAGTTGTCCTATAAATAGCTTATATTCATTTCCTCTGAATCTCACAAGTCAGTAGAGACTAGGAATGATTAGCTTAGGTCAGGACATCTAGCCAGATGAGGTAAATGAAAAGTGAGTGCTTGAAATAGAGCTTCAGGGATTCAGTACTACTACTTGTCAAGATAAATGCATTGCCCTTCCAGAGAAGGTGGAATTTATTTTAAATAAACACCTAGAAGGTATTTTTCTCCCGCGGTGGTGGTTCCTTTTTGTTTTTTAATAAGTGGAGTTAATCATTCCTTGAAATTTACAGTCAAGCGAAAGGAAAAGACAGATATTGAAGACATTATTCATAGACCCAGAGTCTTGAGATAGCCCTTGGGTTCCCGGAGGCACAGGGATGTGATCACTTGCCCTTGACACGCATGGTGTTTTAAGTCCCATTACTTCTTTGGACTTTGAAAATTGCATTTCTAGAGGAAACCCAGCTCATAAACCCCCAAATAAGAGAAGTTTTAGATGAAAAAGGTGATCTCTCTGGCTATTTCAGAGTAGCAAGAATGTGGGAAAAAGCAAAATTAAATCAGGTAAAGGAGTAATTGTATTTGAAAACTGTTGTTGAATGTTGTATTTGACTTCGGCAAGTTAGAACGTGAAGACATCAGTTGTATTCTTTTTAGGAAACACACCTTTCAGCTCTCCCACAGTTTAGTTATACAGTGATGACTCTAAGATCTGAAGTAGCCAGGGATATTTTTCAAACACATTTTTATGTGATGCAGCTGCTGGAGTTAATGGTAACCAGCACTCTCGGGTATTTGGATCATGACAGGTGTAGAGAATCTATCTCATCTCAAGTCTGGATGTCATGTCACTTCTGGTTGCCCCGAGTACCTTGTGCTTCTCCTCCCCTGATGCTGTCACAGTACATTGCAATGTCTTCTTCCTATCTGAATCCCACTCAACTGCCATGGCAGGATCGTCTGTCTTGTTTGTTCACTCTTCTGTCTCCACTGTATGCTTGGCATGTGTGTGGTGCTCACAAAATATTTGTTGAGGGGATGGATATCCAAAAGTGTAATTGTTTCTGTTGATGCCAGAGACACCATTATTTCCAGAAATACTGCTTTTATTCAGGGTTCACCCATTCCCTGTGTGTCCACTGAAAACCTAAATTCTGTTCTCTGTCCCCGTGTAGCTATGAGATTTGGGGCAAGTCTCTTAACCACTTTGCAGCCAGGTTTCTTCATTAGTTAAAAATGGTGGTGAGTTACTGTTTTTAATATTGTTTCCAGCTCTAATATTCTTTTATCTCCTCTGCTGACAATCTCACCCACCTTATTTTTTGAGGGGGGTGGAGGGGCGCAGGAGACGGGGAGAGAGAATCCCAAGAGGCTCAGTGCTCAGCGCAGAACCCAACATAGGTCTCCGTCTTACTACTGCGAGATCATGACCTGACCCAAAATCAAGAGTCGGTGCTCAACTGACTGAGCCACCCAGGTGCCCCTCATCCATTGTATTTTTAATAATTGGGTGGGATTTTTTTAATTTTGATTTTATCATGACTATGTTAGTGTGTTTTAAAAGTACCATGTGATATACAAAATTTGATCCTTTAACACAAAAATAGCATTACAGTCAAACAGTCTCACTAGTTGAATGCTAACACAGGAAACTTGAGATTTTCAGGAGCTGATTACTCAGGTTTGGATTAGCCAGCGTATTCTTTCTCTGGTTGCCTCCAGGATATTAGATGTTTATTGACCTCTGTTTCAGAAGATGATTAAGAAAAGTTAAAAGGAAAACACCTAAGCTAATTATTTTTCATATTTGATAGGAAAGGAACTTGAAACTCTTGGCTAAGATGCCACTTGGACAGGGCCATGACGCTCCATGTGGCCTCAGTGACAACTCTAGCACACCTGAGCTCAAGAGCAGCTGTATTTAATCGTTTCAAAACACTGCTCTCATTGGGTTGTATTTGATAGTTCACTCATCTTTGAGCTCCTAAAACAGAGGGATTTTGTTTTATTCATCTGCGTGTTTTTGGCATCTGTCTCCCAGTGATACACGTAGCAATGCCAGCACTAAGGAGTGGTAATGATAAGGATGTGACATGACATATCCTATCATGACAAGGTGCTATGTGCTATGCATTGTTCTACATACTTAACATGTTTTAATCCATTTAATTGTCACAACAACCCTATGAGATAGGTACTACTGGTATCCCTATGTTACAACTGGGCACATAGAGGGGAAGTAAGGTCACATAGATAGTAAATGGTGGGTCTGGGATTCTAATCCGTATAGTGAAACACTGGCAGCCCGATCCCTAATCATTATACCATGCTCTCTACAGCCATTGCGGTAAATATGTCTTGAATGAATGAATAAATGAATACGTTTGCAATAGTACTCTGTAGCTATTAACTTGATCAGAGGCTTAGATAATTTGTGTTCTGCCTGTGTCTAAAGACACACACACGCACACCCACACACAAATTTCTTGGTCCTTCAATGGATGATATCTTCTCTTTTTTTTTTTTAACTTTATTTATTTACTTTGAGAGAGACAGAGACAGAGACAGTGTGAGCAGGGGAGGGGCAGAGAGAGATGGAGAGAAAGAGAATCCCAAGCAAGCTCTGTGCTAACGGTGCAGAGCCAGACACAGGGCTTGAATTCACAAAACTGAGAGATCATGACCTGAGCCAGAACCAGGAGTCAGATGCTCAAACGACTGAGCCACCCAGGTGCCCCTGGATGATATCTTCATAAAATTTTTCTTCTCTTTAATAGATTGAGAGATGATTTGGGGATTTTCATTCATCTTTATTTTTTTTTAAGTCTGACAATTTGTTGTTTGGCAATCAAAAATACATATGCTTTTTTAAAAAATGCATATACTTTTTAGCAACATAGATCTCAATTTTTGCTGGGCTGTGGATTTGTAATTCAAATAAGTGAAATTTGCCAAATCCAAACCACGTCTTGTTTCCTAAATGGTACTTAAATTTGTGGATTCAAAGAGATGGCCGTAGTCATTCCACAGAGGGTCAAATGTCTATCTTTCTGGGTCAAATCAAATTTAGGCTCCTTGGTTTATTGTTCAACACCCGGTGCATTTTTATTCACAAGCCAAAGGTGTCACATCTGAGGAAATTAGTGCTGTACATTCCCTTTTCATGTGTCTGGATGAATGCTTAGTAGGGGTAACTTGCGATAAAATTGTGGAAAACGTCCACTCTCAGAGCATAGTAAAGGAACAGTTGCTATGTGCTTTATGCCACATCATTTCCTTTTACCTGACCTTCCCAGCAGGACCAGGGAACCATGAAAGTGTTCACTTGTGAGTAATTGTTAGAACCTGGGTAGCTTTGATTCATTAAGTAGGTTTTACCTTCTGATATTGTAAAAGGAAGCGTGACGTGACAATCTCGGCTGGTGGTGAACGATGTTCCTAAAAGCTAATTCAGAATTGTTAGTGTGCTAAAGTGAATCTTTGGAAGAAGACCAGGACAGTTAGCAAATGACCCATTGAAGATGCAATAGTTGAGCGGGGCCTTATCACAAGGATAGGAGTTGGAGGTATGCCTTCGAGAAGACCTGTATTCCCATTGGAGGGTGTGGCTCTGAGGTGGAACACACAGGTTGAATAAAGGAGGGAAGGAACAGTTGGGTGGGCTATCGAAATATTTTGAGTAGGGGCGCCTGGGTGGTGCAGTCGGTTAAGCGTCCGACTTCAGCCAGGTCACGATCTCGCGGTCCATGAATTCGAGCCCCGCGTCGGGCTCTGGGCTGATGGCTCAGAGCCTGGAGCGTGTTTCCGATTCTGTGTCTCCCTCTCTCTCTGCCCCTCGCCCATTCATGCTCTGTCTCTCTCTGTCCCAAAAATAAATAAACGTTGAAAAAAAAATTAAAAAAAAAATATTTTGAGTAAAGAAAGGTCAAGGCAAAGCCCTCTGTAACCTGCATCAGCCTCCCTCCCCTTTCCTCAAAAACCTCCGCCAATAAACCATACAGTGTAGGTAGAGGGAGTGCTTGATACGCAATGCAGCTGTAAGACAAACGTCGCAGGCGTCCCTGCTCCCAGTCACATTGTCACCTCTGAAGAAACTCCTGTATGGACGTAGCCCTCATTTTCAAACAGAGAGTTACTGGGGGCGGAGGGCATCCCATTCAAACAACCATTTGAGGCTTTTTCCAGTTGTAGGGCAAATCCTTTCAGATGTCCCTTCTTCGTAGGCTCGTTTGCCCTAAAGAAACTAAATATAAATATGAATTGTAGGAATTTGTGCCATTGCACTGACTTCAATTAAAAGTACACGGTGTTTGATCTCAGTGCCTATTGGCCTATTGCATACAAGATCCTCAGTAAATTAGTTTCTATCTTTTCCATTTACGTCATTCAGTTTATTGTTGTAGTTTTTGTATTTCGGGGCTTTTTTTGGAGCAAGAGAGTGAGCGTGCGCACACGAGTGGGGCAGAGGGGCAGAGGGAGAGAGATAGAATCTTAAGCAGCTCCAAGCCCAGCACAGCCCAGCACGGGGCTCCATCAATCTCACCACCCTGAGATCATGACCTGAGCCAAACACTTAACCAGCTGAGCCACCCAGGCGCCCCTATTGTTGTTTGCTTTTAACTTTCTCATTTATTTTCCTTTGTTCTCTTTTAAAGGAGAGATTTAAGGAAGCTGAGGAAATCTATCAGGCTGGAATAAAGAACTGTCCAGACAGCTCAGACTTACACAACAACTATGGGGTTTTCTTAGTTGATACCGGTGAGTAAAATTAAAGAGAACCTGTTCTATTGAGATTAGATAATACTATCTATCAAGCAAAATGGCAACCACCCCAATAATGTCTCAGAAGTACCATTCACTTCTGGGCTTGGCAGGAAACTCACACTGTTGACAGTCACATTGTACTGTGGGGCTGTCATTTCTCCAAATCTTCAAGCTCAGCTCAGCATAATCTGCCCAGTTCATACAGCTCTAAGGAAAACTCCCCAGGTGTCAGGAAGTAGCCTTGATGATTTAATGAGTAGCAGTCCTTTGAGTATCATTTATACAAGTTCATATACCTAAGATGATGAAACATTCCTCGGCAATGATGCAGAACTTGCCTCTGAATCTAGTTACAAGCAGATGGGAAATACTTTTCCACATCTGATAAAAAAGTCTCCAGAATTGTTCCATCATTCTTTACTTGATATACATTAGGGAAACCATATTATTGTAACTGATAAGAGTACTCTTACATGACAGATGCTATATAAAATATACTTACTCCCTATTATTAAGGCAACACTTTACTGAGCAGGGATTCTGTTTATGATTTGTGTCCTATATGCTGTTGGCATGCTATGAATACCTATAAAGAATCAAAAGATATTTGAATTTAATGCAAAACACCATTTTGTTCTCATTGAGTATTAGACTACCTGCCTTGCGGTAAAATTCTATTTTAATTATTTTGTCAGTATGAATGCTCAAAAGGGTTTTTATTTTCTAGTATATCTGAAACTTTTCTTTTTTATAGAATGTAAATTTACATTCCAAAACTCCTGGGAAACGTCCCTTATTTTTGCATGTAAAATTGTTTTGTAGTGCCACCTGCTGGTTTGTTAGCAACACAATAATACATTAAGTGTCCTGAAGATCTAAAAACCCAAAGAGACCCCCTCCCTGTTGGTCTCCTCTTAGCCCTCTTCCTTCTGCTTCAACAACAAATAATGCCACTCCCCTAGAAGTCTCACCGGCCACCCTGTGTATCTTCTCATCACTCCCTTTGTATTCATGTGTTTTATACTAGTGAAATTCTCCCTATTACCAGTGACCTATGTATATATACATACATGGTATCTCGTTTAATGCCTAAGATGTCTGCAGGTAATAAACATTCCATTTTCAGCCACTTAGATAAGATTTCACTAGGAAGCTTCTTAGGGGACCTTATCGGAGGCTTGATTCTAGTTCTGGTCTTCATCCTCAGTTGCCTTGGGATTTCTGTCAAGTCTCCTAAGTGCACTTTGCACTTTAGTGTTTATATCTTTAAAGTAGTACTTTTGTTTATTTTATAATAGCTCTTAAATCCCAAGAGACAGCTAAATGGTATCTAAAGGCAGCTAACTAGTATCAAAAATACCTGTGAAGATCATTTAATTAAAATATTTTAAAATATGTAATGTGTTGAATACACACACGGTAGCATTATTATTATTATTATTATTATTATTATTATTAAAACCCCATTATATAAATCCCATTTAACAAGAATGTATCATTTTTAAAAAGATTTTCAAGATCTGGCTGATACATACTTCTTTAAAGCAGTGCCTCGATTACTATGTTGCAGTACAGTAATTGAGACCAACCCTTAGAAATTGTTTCAGGACAGTTTTGTTTCTATAATAGCCTATTCTGTTTTTTAGTATAATGAGAAGCAACAATATCTCGCATAAATAACAATCATTGATGATCTCAAAACATCATACTTGCTAGGGCAATGGCCAGAAAACACTTTGGCTAAAATGATACGTGTAATAAAAGAAATAGATTTTAGTTTTCATTGCTTTTTTACTATTAATTTCCTTGGAAGTGGGAATGAATAGTAAAATGGCCCAAAGTTGCGCAGTGGCAAGGAGATGAAGCCAAAATACAAGTTAATTTACACACTGAATCATTGATGGTATGACTCAGTAATACAAAGAAGAATGATCTACATCAGAAGAGTAATTGAAGAGCCTCGTGTGTTGTATAATTATTTCCAACTACCACTGATTACAGGCTCTCCGGAGAAGGCAGTGGCCCATTACCAGCAGGCCATCACACTCAGCCCAAGTCATCACGTAGCTATGGTGAATCTGGGGAGACTCTACAGGTCATTGGGCGAGAACAGTTTGGCCGAAGAATGGTATAAACGGTAAAATTCCTTTTCTTCACTTTGTAAGTTGCCCAAGGATGTCAGTAGTTGCCCTTCCAATTTTTATGTAATTGAAGCAGACATGCCTTTAGAATATTAACAGATTTTGCCAATTCAGGCAACACAAAGTCTTATCTCCAAAGAAAATAAAACCAAACCCTTAATGGTGTCCCAGTGAATGGCTTTTCTGCCTGCTGGTTAGAACATGGTGCTAAACCAAGGTTGGAATGTAATTCCTGCTTTGGTCAGTCCATTGTTTTCTGAGGCTATGGACTGCAGCCCAAGCCATAAATAGCAGTTTCAAAAATGGATGTGGTGGAAAGACTGTGCATACATCAGAACAAGCCTATCACCATTAATGGAAACGATCCTTGGAGCTCAGTGTGCATATTGATAGGTCACTAGAGACATTCTTATAGTCAGAGGGCAGCGTCATGATCTTTTTAAAAACAGTCTTCTTGATTATAAAAACCAGAGACCAGGGGCGCCTGGGTAGCTCAGTCAGTTAAGCGTCTGACTTCGGCTCAGGTCATGATCTCACAGTCCGTGAGTTCTTGCCCCGCATTGGGCTCTGTGCTAACAGCCTGGAGCCTGCTTCAGATTCTGTGTCTCCCTCTCTCTGACTCTCCCCCGTTTGCTCTCTGTCTCTGTTTCAAAAATAAACATTTTAAAATAAATAAATAAATAAAATAAAATAAAAAAATAAAAACCAGACACCATGTTGAAGCAGAGTCTCCAACTGTGGACTGTCATCCCTAAATCTGCGTTTTGAGCTTTCGAAAGGTACCTATTAGAAGTGTCACTTCATCTTTCTGAAAACTTAGCGCACTGCAGGTGTCCCGCAAAGCTGAGATATTATCACCTTTGGGAGCGCTGTATTATAACACTGGCCGATATGAGGAAGCTCTGCAGATCTACCGGGAAGCTGCGGCCCTCCAGCCTTCTCAAAGGGAGCTCCGCCTGGCCCTGGTAAGTAGATTGCTAAAGAAAATGAGGCGGGAACACACAGGGTGCAGTGCAGAGAGTTGGAGTCAGAAGCCTCAGAACTGCAACTGTAGCACTGCAAGTAGGATGCTACAGTACATCCGTTTTCTGACTATCCATGTAACCAGTGTTAGAGCCATTCACCAAACACACAGACACTAAAAACTTTTTTAAGTTTTTGGTTCGAAATGATTTCAAGCTTAAAAAATTTGCAAGAATAGTAAATAGCTCCCGTACACCCTTTCACCCAGCTCCATCAATTTTTAGCATTTTGATGAATTTGTTTATCAATGCCTTGTGTAGATGCATCCATATATGTACCTATGTACATATTTAAGTATGTGTGCAAACGCATAGTATTTTTTTGTGAGCCACATGACAGTTATAGATCCCACACCCTTTATTTCTAAGTACTTCAGCAAATAGTTCCTAAGAACGAGGACATTCTCTAATACAACCACAGTATGATTATCAAGTTTAGGAAATTAGTATCAACAATATTTTTTAATTTCAATTTGGAAATTTGCATTTTTGTTACTCTTTTTTAGATTTGTAACAAATCAAACTCGTTATAAATGCAATGTCCTGTTGAAACCATAAGAAATCATTTCTTTTTTAAAATATTTAGTCAACTTTTTAAAAAAGTCACAAGTCATTTCACTGATGTCTTTGGTGTCCCTGCTATTCACGTATCATGCATTATTCTCCTAAATAAATAAACAGAAATGAACAACAAAAAATTAGAACCTGTAAACTGTGGGAATTCAGCTCCCTCTGTGAATCTCAGATAGAAGCTGAACATTTTTTTTTCTGGAGTGTTTCTGACACGCCCCTATTCAGAGATGCTGTATTTGATGAAGTGATGACAAACTGGCTCTGAAGCCAAGGTCATGTGGTTTTGCAGGCTCAGGTTTTGGCCGTAATGGGTCAGACAAAAGAAGCTGAAAAGATGACCAACCACATCGTGTCAGAGGAGACTGGATGCCTCGAATGCTACCGCCTGTTGTCAGCAATCTACAGCAAGCAGGAGCGCCACGACAAGGTAGAGGGACACGGGAGTCGTTTGGATCCACAGGTGGAAGATGGTGTGCACCTGACTGACTCTCCAGTCTGCACGTTTACAAGGCGGAGCAGTCTTGACTATCATCCGTTGGCATGGCCTATCTTCTGGATGTTTTTTGCAGATATCCCCTTAACTGCTAATATGTCCCCTTGAAATATTTTCTTGACTAATCTTTTGTCTAAAGATTTTATGTGAGGGGCACCTGGATGGCTCAGTCAGTTAAGTATGCAACTCTCAATTTCAGCTCAGGTCATGAGCTTCAGTTTGTTAGATTGAGCTCTGCTGACATCTCAGAGCCTGCTTAGGATTCTCCCTCCCCCTGTCTCCCTCTGTCTCTCTCTCTCTCTCTCTCTCTCTCTCTCTCTCTCTCTCTCTCTTTCTCTCTCTCTCTCTCTCCATTCCCCCCACAAAATAAATAAATAAATATTTAAAAAATAAATAAAGATTTTGTGTGATATTATCTCAGTTTGTTTTCACCTAACTCTATAAACACTAACTTTATATGCTTTGTCATTTGTATGCTTTATCATTTTCCATGTTCCTTCAATTATATTTTTATAGAGTCCTTATAACACCCTTATATAGGTCAGTGACCCTGTGTTGCAACTGTTATTGTTTATCTCCATTTTAAAAGTAACATAGCCAGTAAACTTATGAACTGACTCAACAAAATATTTATTGAATGCCTGCTATATGCCAGACACTGTGGCAGGTACCAGGAATAAAGCGGTATAAGAAAAACAAACAAACAAACAAAAAATCACTTTTGTCCTCATGGAGTTTATAGTAGAAGAGGAAACCAAGATTAAAAAAGCAATCGCAAAGGGGCGCCTGGGTGGCGCAGTCGGTTAAGCGTCCGACTTCAGCCAGGTCACGATCTCGCGGTCCGTGAGTTCGAGCCCCGCGTCGGGCTCTGGGCTGATGGCTCGGAGCCTGGAGCCTGTTTCCGATTCTGTGTCTCCCTCTCTCTCTGCCCCTCCCCCGTTCATGCTCTGTCTCTCTCTGTCCCAAAATAAATAAAAAACGTTGAAAAAAAATAATAAAAAAAAAAAGCAATCACAAAACAGATATAAAATTATAGCTGTGCTCAGTGATGTCATGAAGAGTGACATGGTTCTCACAGGCATATAATCAGGGACCTGAGTGATCTGGGAGGTTAGGTTCCCTGCAGAGTGATATGAAGGTGAATGCTGAATGATAAATAGGAGTTGTTAGACAAAGGAGGGCAATGAAAAGCATTCTAGGCAGGATAAAGTATGTGCAAAGGCCCTGTGGCAGCAGCAAGTAACAAGTCTGAGGGATGGGCATGAAGGGAGCAGGGCACTGTGTAAGATAATGGCTGTAGAGGTTGCTGGGGACAATACCCCACAGGGTGTGGGACCAGGGCAAGGGTTTTGTTTCGTATCTTGGGAGAAGCTTTGGGGTTTTTTTGTTTGTTTTTGTTTGTTTGTTTTTTGTTTTTGAGAGAGGGGGTGGGGAGTGAGCAAGGGGCAGAGAGAGAGAGAATCTCAGGAGGGGCAGAGAGAGAAAAAGAGAAGAAGGGCTCGTGTTTACCTGAAGTGGAGCTCAAGCTCACTTGAAGCAGGGCTCAAGCTCACCAATGTGGGGCTCAAACTCACAAACTGTGAGATCATGTCCTGAGCCAAAGTCAGACACTTAACAACTGAGCCACCCAGGCACCCCAAGCTTTTGGGATTTTATGGAGAAAAGCAGCATGGTGAGGTTTGTGCTTTGAAGGGATCCCTGGCTGCAAGGGATGGGGCAGTGGGTGCTGGGGGGGGGGGAGGGGGCCACAGTTGGCACCAAGGACCTAAGAGGAGGCCATGATTGGAGGGGTCCAGATGGACACAGGCAGGGCAAAACAAATGACGCCAGATCTTGTTTCCTTTCAGCTTTATCACATGATCTTCCTATGGAATGGCCAAGGACATTTCATTGTCACTAATATAAATGGAAACCCTGGAGTATAGGGAGATTGTCTTGTCAGGGCCACATTATTTCTCAGTGAGAACATCAGAGAGAGTGAAGAATGTGTTTTGATTGTCATTTACCACACCAGCTAATACATAAGGACAAAAAGTATACGTTTTATCATTTAAGTTAGTCTTTCTTCATCTAATCTACTTATTCTGTTTTATTTTCAAACCTGTTATAGGCACTCGATGCTATAGACAAAGCTCTCCAGCTGAAGCCAAAGGACCCTAAAGTCATATCTGAACTTTTTTTCACAAAAGGAAACCAACTAAGAGAGCAGAATCTTCTGGATAAAGCTTTTGAGGTATAAACACTTAATAAAATTATGTTATTAAATGAAGGGATTCAGATTAATACTCTCAATCTTTTTTTTTTTTTAATTTTTTTTTTCAACGTTTATTTATTTTTGGGACAGAGAGAGACAGAGCATGAACGGGGGAGGGGCAGAGAGAGAGGAAGACACAGAATCGGAAACAGGCTCCAGGCTCTGAGCCATCAGCCCAGAGCCTGACGCGGGGCTCGAACTCACGGACCGCGAGATCGTGACCTGGCTGAAGTCGGACGCTTAACTGACTGCGCCACCCAGGCGCCCCAATACTCTCAATCTTTAATGAAGCATATGTGGCAAAATTTAAGATCATTGGCATGTTTGTGGAGTGAATTTTCTGATTAATTACCATGATGTTGTATGTTTAGTTTTTATCATTGAGCCTTTGGATTTTTAGTATTCAGAGTTCTGCAATACCTCCACATTATTTTCTGAATGATTACTTTTAACTTGGTGCCTAAAGCAATTCCACATTTTTCCCTCAAACCAGTTTCTCTCTCTGCCACCCTCACTCTCTCTGTTTGCCTGCAATAACCCTCTAGTCTGGGTGGACTAGTGCTGAATAGCTTTGGCATTTCCACACATCCTTGTAACATCCTTCTACACTCCCCATCCCCAATTCCCCACAGATTCCCTGTCAGAATCCACTAAGACACAGCCTGTGTCCTCCTCCTTCTGGAAGCTCATCTGGCCTATCCTTTCTCCTTGGACTATCCTTTCTTGTTTCCCGTGAACTTTTAAAACATTTACTATCTCTACAAGTCATTTGAAAGTATCATATATTACACTGTATTGTTAGGTCTCTTTCTCCCCTCCCTCTGTCTTCTCCGTCCCCTGCCTCCCCACCTCACCCCCCCCCCCCCCCCCCGGGCCCGTGCATAATGCCTGCTCCCCAGTTAGATTAGACTTCTCCTTATAGAAGGGGACTGCTTCCTTCTGTGTTCCAAAACATAACATCTTGCATCTTATAGGCATTCAAATAAAGTTTATACACAGCTTGAAATCAAAACGATATTGCAAGCAAATAGAAATGTTATAGAAATACCAAGCATTTCTGGTAAAGCCACAAGTTGGAATTAATGAGGTCATAAAATTACACTAAATACAACATGGGGAAAGTAAAATTTTAAATTATATTATTGTTTTTGAAAACAGTGAGTGATTTTTAAAATATTCAAAAACACATGCAAAGATATTTGGGGAAACTAATTTGAATGTGAACCCTTAAATCAGAAACAGTGGCATATTTAAAGCAGAAAGTGTGCACTTTTCTCTGCCCTGTGAACATTTTTTTAATGTTTATTTTTTTCTGAGACAGAGACAGAGCACGAGTGGGGGAGGGGCAGAGAAAGAGGGAGACACAGAATCCAAAACAGGCTCCAGGTTCTGAGCTGTCAGCACAGAACCTGACGCGGGGCTTGAACCCACGAACTGCGAGATCATGATCTGAGTCGAAGTCAGATGCTCAACCGACTGAGCCACCCAGGTGCCCCTATGAACATTTTTTAATACCTTAAGTTACTTATACCTAACATGACAATTTGATTAATGTGTAATTAAATTATAAATAGTTATTTGGTATCTATATCGTATCTTATACATTGTATTGAAAACCAAAGTATTTTCTAGTTGCTTAACTAATAGATCAAATAATCATTTTAAAGTGGCCAGATTGGGGTGCCTGGATGGCTCAGTCGATTGAGCGTCTGACTTCAGCTCAGATCATGAATTTGCAGTTCATGAGTTTGAGCCCCACGTCGGGCTCTGTGCTGACAGCTGAGGGCCCGGAGCCTGCCTTGGATTCTGTGTCTCCCTCTCTCTCTGTTCCTCCCCCACTCGTACGCCCTCTCTCTCTCAAAAATAAAGATTAAAAAAAAATTAAAGTGGCTAGATCTATGAAAGGTAGGAGTAGGGCCTTGGGCTAACAGTAGCAGCTAAAATCTATTAACATTTTTATTTATGATTACATGTATTCAGTATTTTAATCTTTGCAACAGTCATATAAGAAAGCTATGGTCATGGTCTCCATCTTACAGTTGAGTAAACTGAGACTCAAAGGTTGTGTAACTTGCTCAAGGTCACAGAGGGTAAGAGATGGAGCTGGGATTTGAATCCAGGTTCCTAACTTCTACCCTACACCCTCATCTCTGTTGATAGAAATTGAAATGCCCAGAGTCTAAGAGACCCCCAAAAACGAACCACCAGAGTCCAGAGTCAAAGCTAAGCAGCAAGGGTCATTTATTGCAGGTTGGAACCTGGACCTCCGCGCACTCGTTGCCGGTGACGCCGAGAGGTCCTGAGAGAGGTTTTTACGCCCCTTTTATAGACAGGTACAAACAAGTCATGGGGAAATCAGGAATACATGGATGTGCCAAGCAGCAATGATTGATCAGAAATACACGGATATGCCAAGTAACAATGGTTGATCAAGAATATACGGTTGTGCCAGGCAACTATGATTGATCAGAAATACACGGATGTGCCAAGTAACAATGGTTGATCAGAAATACACGGATGTGCCAAGTAACAATGGTTGATCAGAAATACACGGTTGTGCCAGGCAACTATGATTGATCAGGAATACATGGGCGCGCCAAGCAATTGTACAGAAGCGGAACAAGCTGGTTAAGCTTGGTTAGGTTTCAGTTTCCTGTAACTTAAGCTTTTAAGTTTCAATTTTCTCAGGCCTCTCAAAATTAACCCGAGACACTTTCTTCAGGTTTACTTTAGCAGCTTTTTAAAGGCATAGTTTCTTATCGTTTGCTTGCTTCTCTTAAAACTAAAGTGGAGGAGGAATGGACCAGATTCTGTTTACTTCATGAATCTGTTCCATTGGAGTCTTGCTAATGAAAATAGCAAAGACATTAAAATATACACACGGATCCTTAGCTTTGGAATTGACAGCAGCGCTCTTAGCCTTTAGCTTTATTTAGGCGACCACTCTTAAATGCAGACCCAGTGGAGAACATGCCTGTGACGTTAAACAATGTGCAAAATATTACAAATATGCCGCACAGATATTACATTTAATGGGATACTCATTTTCAGACCAAAAGAAGTATTTGAGGGAGAAGTAACTCTCTTCAGACCTTTCATGCAGCAGAAGATAAAGGAAGACTGTAATGATTAAAACTATCCCCTAGGAAAATGGATGTCCTTAAAGAAGTAAGAGCATCCTGTCACGGCAAGTATTTCAGCGTAGGCTGAATAAACATGCCAGTGACATTGTGAAAGGAGGTGCCACACTAGGGCTAAGCTGTGTGGGAAAATACTCGAAGATGCTGATTATTAAAAAGAAAAGTATTCTTACAAACTCCATTTACAGTGACTAAGGCCAAAGCAGTTTTCTTGCAGATCAAGACCAGAGGGAAATGATGCACCATAATCAAACCACCTGGATTCCCCACAGGTGTCCTCAGGCTCTGCAAGCAAATCACACAGTTCAGTTTCCTCCACTTCCGAATCATCCATTTTGAAACATAATTGAAATAAACGGGAACACCTGTGAGCTAGTGGTGTCTGCTTTCATTGTATTAACCATTTAAATTCTCACTGATGAAGAAAGTGGTTTCCACGTCTGTAGCACGAAGCATGGGTTCTCGTTCCTCAGCCTGAAGATGTTTCTTATATGTTTAGAGCTACAAAGCAGCCGTGGAACTGAATCCAGATCAAGCACAGGCCTGGATGAACATGGGTGGGATCCAACACATCAAGGTAGGAGAATAATTCACTTCTGTGTGGACTGGCTTTTCTTTGCACTTACTCTTTCTGTCTTTTCTCTCGAAAGATTGAGAAAGTATTGTTTATTCCCTCTTTGAGTTGTCTGAATACCAAAAACATAGGTGTTTAAAAGTGAAATTAGGAGTTACGTTCATCTTGTATTATCGTGATATTGAATATCATGAAACCATTTTAAAAATAAATCTATACAAATTAAATCCCATGATTTTACTTAACATAAAGAGAATTGTGTGCACTTAGGAGAAGTATCATTGCACAGCAAGTGGAATCTGCTTATGTGAACTAAGTCCTTGTTGGAACTTAGCGTAGCTCATTGTCCTACAGTTTAACTCACGGTCAAGACTACAGTGTTACTTTACATATCACTTTACTATTTCTTGTATCGAATGTGCCTTTTACCCCCTAATCTTTTACTGAAACACAAGGCTGTTTACTTGTGGGTTTTTTGTTCTTCCAAAAGAAAAAGCTACCTTTGAGAGAAGCATTAAAAATGACCTGGGGAGGACTGCTGTCTGTAACTAATGAACTCAAAGACTCACATTCACTCGTTCATCCATTCATTTGACAAACATGTATACAGAGCATGCTATGTGCCAGGTACTCTTTTTGGGAGCACTGGAAATAGAACATTGAACAAATAAGACAAAAGTGTCTGTCTTCATGAAGCTAGCGTTTAGTAGGGGAGACTAGTAATAAATAAATACATACATGCATACATACATATATAAAATATATCATGGTGCTATGGAGAAAAAGAGAGAGAGAGAGGATAGGAAGTGACATGGGGTAAGAGCTGAAATTTAAAATTAAGGTGGCTGGGAAGGCCTTACTTTAAAAGTTATTTTGAGTAGAGAACTGAAGGGAAAAAACCGTGTGGCAAAACAGGGAAAGAGCATGTGCAAAGGTCCTCAGGTATGATAGTACCAGCTGTGTTTGAAGAACAGGCAGGAGGCAAGTAAGATGAAATGGTAGAAGCCAGAGTCAAAGAAGACACAGGGCCAGAACATGCAGAGCCTTGAAGGGGGATTGTAGGGTCCTTGGCTTTTATGCCATGCCAAATGAACTGGGGTCCTTGGAGGACTTTCAGCAGAGAAATGCCATGGTCTGACATGTTTTCAAAGGATCACTCTTGTTTAGCTAACCTATTTCCAGGCTTCTACCTGTCTTTATATTGATAAAATAACAATATAGTGATTAGGATTTAGACAAAAGCCTAATAGGGTTCACTATTAAATGGAAACTGGTCATTCTCAAAAACACAACAAAACAAAAAGGTGACTCATGATTATGCAACTGGAAGGCAATAATGGGATAGTTACTCTGTGACTGACAGCCGTGGTCTAATAGAAGAACATGGATGGCGAATTCCAAACATGACATTTATCAGGGCAGAATAACCTGAGCTCTGATCTTAATGATTTTCTAGGATGTCCAACAGTATGAACTTACTTTTCAAATAGTAACATAATTTTAAATAGTTAAATAGCATGTTAAATAGTTATATTTTAAAATAATGCACGCTCAGTATGTTTTTAGATGGGAGTGTGTCTGCAACTTAAAGCAGCTGGGTTCCCCTGTTAATGTAAAAAGTCCAATAAATATACTCAAGACTTTTCCAGAAAGTCTGGAAATACAGGGATAATAGTACATTGGACTATTCATAGGACTCTCAGATTAACAAGTGAATCCATGCTTTCCATTTAGAGGTACTTCCCCTAAAAAGGTGTCTGGAGGTTGAAGAAAGATCTGTTAAGTGTATGACTTTAAAATGTAATGAGCACAAGATTAAAAATTAGTTTATGCAGTTTTTCATCTCGTATTAGGTTAAACAATATAAAATGGCCATGTTTGGAGTTTAAAAATGGCCTCATATCAGTGAATTCATACGATGCAATCCAGTGTAAATGTGGATTGGGATGTGGTCATATAGATGCCACCATTAGGATGCAAGAGTATTATCATGAGATCCTAAAGAGCAATCGTTAGCTTTCTGTCTTTTTGCAGAAAGTTATCCCTTAGTAGCAGAGTGCTCCCATCAGTGTCAGCCATCCCAGGTTCGCTCCTTCCCCGAGCCCGGGTGAAGCTTAGGGTACTGAGGTTGCCAGTTGGAATAAGGCTTTGCAAGGAGGCAGCATGAAGAGATGAGAAGAGAGTTGTCTCTTGTTTATACTGCTTGGTAATAAAAGATAATTATTATGAAGCTCTATAAAGGATGGAGTGGATAGAATAAAAATCTAAAATACATTCTTTATAAACACACAATTGCATCAGAGTACTATTTTCAGTACTGTCCTGTGATAAGAATACACGTTTTCTAGAATGACATTGTGCAGTAGACCTCTATGATGGAAATGCTCTGTATCTGCATGGGCCAAGGCAGCAGCCACTGGCCCATGTGGCTGTTGAGCCCTTGAAATGTGATTGGTGCAACTGAGCAACTGAATTCTTTTTTTTGAATATAATTTATCGTCAAATTGGTTTCCATACAACACCCAGTGCTCATCCCAACAAGTGCCCTCCTCCATGCCCATCACCCACTTTCCCCTCTCCCCCCACCACACATCAACCCTCAGTTTGTTCTCAGTATCCAAGAGTCTCTTATGGTTTGCCTCCCTCCCTCTCTGTAGCGTTTTTAAATTTATCATAATTGATTTCAATTTAGATAGCCATGTGGGGTCAGTGACTCCCATAGTGTAGACAGCACATTCCTAGAAATCAGATCATTCAGATTTGCTACCTTAGCATCTCAGAATTGAATCAAGGGATATAACTTTTAAAGAGTAAAAATAAGGCTTCCAGTTTAATCAAGAAAAGAGCAATTTGAGGAAGAAAAGATAACTCTAGGAGTACATTTTATATGAAAGGATAAAGAAAGCTGGTAATCAAAGAAGGAAATGCTAACGCACCGGACTGAGGGCTAAATTCAGGGAAAACTCTTGGAAGAGCAACTTCCAGGTCAGCTGAAGTACAAGCATATTTTGAGAGCACACATGTTCAGTCATCTGCATGTGTGTGCTAAGCCTGATACACATCACAAGACACTTGGAAGTTAAATGCTGGAGTTGAAAAAAATAATAATTGAATGTAGCAAACCCAGGTTCTCACTTGTTCAGAATTCTGTTTAGCCTCTTGGGAGAATCAAGGTTAATAATCAGAAATGTTTTCCTTTTCTGCCATTTCCACCCTCCTTTTCACCACTATGGCGAGCGAGTGCTCTAAGTGGACAGTGTCTGCATAAACCTGGATGGTCTTTTAATAATGACAACAATGGTAGCATCAGATTGAGTGTTCACTGTGCGCCAGGCAGTGTCCAAGCTCTTAACATGTATTAACTCAGCTGGAAGATAGTTAAGCATTCAGTGAATATTAGTTGCTAGTCGCGACCTAGTACTTTCACTTAGAAATGCTGTTTTAAATTGTGATGGGAATTCAGGGCGTAACCGGTTTTCTTCCACATGGACCTGTAATTGAGCATAAAATAGAGCAAACTGAAATTTGGGGGAATGGAGAGAACACTAACAGTCATAGTTAGGAGACATGGCAGGACACAGATCTGAAAGAGGGTGGACCAAATAAGGAAGGTAAAATTTATTTGCAGAAATGGGCCTGGAAAACAAGAATTGTGACTAATTTGCTCAGAACCATCTGGGACGGGGCACACATGGTTTCCAGTTAGAAAGCCATTGAACAAAGCAGATAGGGGTCAACAGAGGGTGGTGATAGGTGTCTTTAGCACGTCCAGGGTGACGTGCCTTCCTTCCCGCTTTAAGAGGATCCAGCAGGTACGTATTGTCACACGCCTTGGGTAAATTTAACCTCATATTCCTATAAGTTCTTTTCATTACATAAAAACTTACATTTCCATTACAGCCTGTATTAGGCAAAAGTTGCTTTTATGTCTTAAGCTGGAGATGCAAATAACTTCTACCACTGAAGAGTTACAGTGGATTTCTATTTAATCATCACAACTTGTGCAGTTTCAAAAACATTTCCCACAGATCTCCCTCCATTCCGTCTTTCTCTCCTCTTTCTCTCTCTGAATGTCTAGTCATGGCTCCATGTGATTACTAAGGAAAAGTTCCATTATGAAATGACAGCCTCATGCCCTACAGTAGTAGAATTGAAAATCTGTTTTTTTTGCCATTTCACCTTACACTATAACTCTCATCCCTCACATTCTCCAGCTGGCCTGGTACTTAAAACAAACGGATTCTCCAAAAGCACCAACAGATAAGGATAAAATTGCCCATGCAGTCAGGGGTTCCTTCTGAGGACATATGTGTTCAACTGGGCCAGAAGGTCTGTTTCCTAGTCTCCCTGTTCTCCAAGAGCGTTCCAGTGGGTCAGAATAGATCATTGTTCCCTTTCTTTTCCCCACAGGGAAACTATGTGTCCGCAAGAGCTTATTATGAGAGAGCCTTACAGCTGGTTCCAGACAGCAAACTGCTGCAGGAAAATCTCGCCAAACTGGATCGCCTAGAAAAACGATTACAAGAAGTTCGAGAAAAGGATCAAACATAAGCAGCACTGGAACCAGTCTCGAGGGACAGTGCTGGTGCCTCTGGAAGAGGAAAAAGTGATGCAGGCTCGCTTTCATAGCAGCAGGGGGGCAACAAAGAAGCTTTCCTGTCTCCCTGCGTTCAGGGGGGCACATTTAGGGACACATGCTGGCACCTCTGTGCTGAGGGACTTGCATTTCCATGGAAGAAGACAGAAAGAGCAAGCAAGAGCTAGGCCTGAGAGGAAGGAAAACAACTACTACACGTTTTGCAGATTTTTGTTGGCTTTAATTCCAGATTTCCCTTCATCTATTTCTCTGCTTTCCCAACCTGAGAAGCTAATTCCATCTCTTAGTGTAGACTTTTATGTCCCAGAAATACAGGGGCTTGAAATGCTATGAAGGGAGAGCAGCTCTTCTTAATGAGTTTTTTCAAAGAGAATAAAATCTCTGGGATAACCATTTGGGAAATTCCACCAAGAGGTAGCTCATTGAATTCTCCAGAACTGGAGATGCATAATAGTTTGTGTAGAATCTTCTGGAATATATGGGGGAAAGGGCTCTTGTTAAGTGAGCGCTGCCTATATTCCCCTGGGGATAATCCCCCTAGAGCCCAATTGAAGAGTAAATTAAATTCCACTCTGATGCAATCTTTTCCTGTTGCCTAATATATCAAAAAAAGGAAGCTTCTGGAATTGTGTATGTGTATTCTTATCCCTAGGGGAAAATCAAGGATCTTGGTACCCCTAATTCTTTATGGAAATGTTTAAGATTATTTTAATTTTATTACAAGTATTACTAGAGTAGTGGTTCTGCTCTAAGATTTCAGAAGTGCTTTTAGAATCATAAATGTTTCTGCCTCCACATATATTGTTATTTTGGTGGAGAAAAAATAGTATATTCTACATGAGAAATATTAAAGATATCAACTAAGAGAAATGTTCTACTTTGTTATCTTAACGTTCAGTCATCCAGAGATTTATTATTTTTTTGAAAACTATATTTAACCATTGACAAGTCTTTACAGTATATCACAGAAATCTTCACAGACTATAAACAGATGGAAAGGGAGCTCTATTGATTTGTCTACTGGGTCTCAATGAGAATTCTGCGCTTAGAACATGAGTGATGGAAACTTGGAGTTCTTGGTTCTGTGTTTATAATTTTGGAGATTTCATGGAGAATGCTGAAAAAATCTAGGGGAAAAAATCTCAATTTGTAATTTAAAAAATATATATTTATATTTAAAAGATAGAGGTAGCAAAGTTGAATTTACAATTTGACCTTTGTTTTTTAGTGTTATTTATTTCATAACTTATAAAATATTTAATATATATGTGTACACACATTTTTTCCTGTACATACTGGTTTTAATAGTAGCTTTCAGAACTGATCATACAAAAATTACAAATCTGAATTACAAAGTAGTTAAGTTTTAACAGCCCCTCAAAAATTTTGTATTGATTATTCACTTGCTGAAGCTAAAGAAATTAAGAATCAGACATCAGTGTTTGGGTGGTAATATATTTTGGAAGTGAAGAAATTGGAACGCCTGATTCTAATTTGGCCATCATTATAACCTTTAAAAAAAAGGAGAAGAAGGAGAAGAAGAAGAAGAAGAAGAAGAAGAAGAGGAGAAGGAGGAGGAAGAACAACCACCAAGTGCTGTTGTTCACAGCCCTGGGCCAGGTGGCCTAAACATGTAGTAGCCTGAAGGCACTCAGATTTGACGTGCTCAGGGCAGGGTAAAAAGTCTGTTTCTTCTCAACACAGTATCAGGAAACACTGCCCCTCTATGTTGTTATCTTTTTGTCAAGGTAAGTCTAGTTAAAAAAAACTTCTTTGGAAAGGGATGTTGGAAGGAATACTTTAAATGCAAAGGATTACAGAATTTGAATTGGCATACATGTATTTGTATGGATCAATAATCCAATAATATATGTATTACCACTATGATCTTCGGTTTCTAATAGTCCTTTTAGCCTTATATATCATAACCTTTTCCAAAATTTTATTTAAAATATTTTTCTTGTCTTCAAAATTATACTTGTGTAGTCCTAAGGCCAAGAAATGTACTAGAGTTTATTTTGAATGATCAGCCCACCCCCAAATTGAAAAGCATAAGCCTAGCTAAAAACAGTATCTAAGACTCTAATCACAACTTTTTAAAATAACCTGTAACCAAAACTCACACTTAGGAAATTAATGGAAAAGACTAAGCCCCAAGTTTTGAAAAGCTTTTTTTTTCTCAGCCTTACTTGAAGTGCTGCTAAAGGTATGAGGGTCCGTTAGTGGGAATAATTGAAATGGCAGTCAAAGTGTAAAAGTTTCTAAGGGAAGGGGTCACATGACCTTCAGGAGACTTCTTCTATCTTCTTTTGGGTGCTTTTCTCTCTCCCCATGTCTTCCTGTCTCTCTCTGTCTCTCCCCCTCCCCTCAATCTCTCCTTTCATTCTGTCCCTCCTCCCCCTCCCCTTCTCACTATCACTCTGCCTCATTCTGTGTGCACACACTGGCAACTCTTTGAACATTAAAAGTAAGCACTGTTTGTTGGGTCAGATATTTTTATCCTGATTTAATAATGTCACTGAGATGTAGCCAATGAAATAGTTTTCATAGTTAAATAGTGCCTATAAGAAAATAAATCACGTGTTATTTTTCAAAGATATTAAGTGTATTTTATAACTATTTTTATTTGGTTCTTGTAACATGAAAATAATATTAATTCTTATCAATAAAAGCAGGCTAGTCATGGAGATCTATCTAGATTGCCCTTAATAAAAGCATGCTTGGCATGAGAGTTGGTAGCCCTTTCTGAGATGGAGTCTCAGAGCCAGCTTCATGAGCATGCACTTCATGTGGCCCCTCAGGGTCCTGCACTCAGGCACCCACGCTTGGTCAAAGGCTCTGCTTGAAATTCTTAATAATTTTTGAACGACGAATCCTGCAATTCCATTTTGCGCTGGACCCTTAAAAATGTAGGGTATCCTCAGCGGGAGGGAAGTTGACTGAGGACAAGACAAGAGTTGCTTTAGTCTGGGTGAACACTTGATCTGGTGATCAGTTTTATTTGTGACTGTGTTACTTTGGGCAGCATTTGCTTTTTTTTCTCAGCTACATTTCAAGTCCCTTGTGTATGTCTGTTCCCCTCTTACTGCCAGTCTATTTAACCTGTCCTTCTGTCCTACCTAGAACCAGTTCTCCTTGCCTTTAAAATTCCCAGGAAATGACAGTCCCTTGACACAGGAACCATGACAATGGCTTTACCAGTTTATTTCAACCCTAAGAATTATTCAGAATTTTTTAAATGATCCAGATGTTTTCAGTCTGTATTCATAAAACATGGTCCCGTGATGTAACATAGGTAAACTAAACCAAAGATTCAAATGCCTTGGAGGAAAGGAAATTTTATTTTAGGGAATCCTGAGATATATTCTTTGGGGCTTATTTGTTTTGAGGTCTATCATAAAACAAAGAGGATTGTTGGCCCTTTAATTACAACTTCCTATAATACTTCACAGCCCCTAGCATGAGACTCTGACATTTGTCACAGGTCATACCTCATCTGATGCAGGGGTTTATAGTGGTTGCACGATGCTTCTGGGCAACTGCTCTTCAATGGGACTAAATGAGAAAATCCAAACTGTTCTATACAAACCCACCTACAAAAGCTATAATTGGAGGGGGAATAAAAACAAATGTGTGGTTTCTTACTGTCTCTATTAAACATTCCAGGCCCCTCAGGTTGACGAGCCACATTCAGCTGATAGTTGAGAACTAATCCCTCACATATACCGGCTCTCAAGCCTGGCTGGGCTGTAGGATCACCTGGGGACCTTTGGAAATCTCTGAGATGCTGGCTGCCCAGGTTAAGATGCTAATATGCAGCTAGGCTGCGGAACCACTGTGGGCTAACAACTTTAATGGACTTTTATAACCCTTCTCAAGTTGTGCTTTTAAATCTAGGCTACAATGAGCTAAAGAATTCTAAAGAATAATTTATGGCACAGTTGATTGGTTGAGACTATTGTTTCAAGATTGACAGACAGGTCGGTTGGGTAGGGTAATTTGCACTTGTGGCAGTTGGACTATAATTTGACCTTACATTTTTAGAATTCTTGGTCCTCAGATGGAGAGGAATTGCCATTTGTATACACCAGACAAGTCACCCAGTATGTAAAACTCAGAAGGTGTTCATGGCATAGAGTATATTCCTAAACCTACGTCTCTCTTTTGGTTATACACATGTAAACTTTGGTTAATTATTTCTTAATTGTACTCATTAGAATCAGTTTTTGAGGGGAAAATGAAAAAACTTTTGCTCTGATGTGTTAAGGATTTGCCTCTTACATTAATCAACCTATAGGATATTAGTAACAACAATCAAGGCAAATGTAGTTGTAGGCGGTTTGTTTGTTTTTAATATTTCACCTAGTTTCCAGATCACATTTACTTTGATTAAATGGCATGTTGGTGTCCCAATGATGACAAAATGTAATTATCTGACATCTTTTGGCATTTTAAAAGAGTAAAGACCTATCAAATCTTGCATTTAGGCTTCAATTAAGATAAAAGCTTACTATGCCAAATACACACACACACACACACACACGGAAACATTATAACTTTTATAATTATTCTTGAAGTTTTGATGTAAAAAATTATGTTGAACAGTTCTTCAAAAAATAGCACCTCCTCCATTATTTTTGTTTTTAGGAGCCATTAACTTAAAGGGAAGAAATAAAATAACTATAATCAAAGGAGTGGTTTAATATCAGCAAAATAAAATGATGCAACAGAATTGATGATATTCATGTCAGTCAAATGGCTCATATAAAAATGTATTCTTTTTATCACCAAAGATCCTTTCAGTTAAAATCTTTTAGGGCATGTAGCTTGTAAAATCAGTGTCCATCACAATATATGGTCACGATTAGTTTGTAAGTGTAGATCATCATTTACCCCAAAATGGAAAGACATGTCTATGTCCAGAAATCCCGGAGTTTCTTCCCATTCTCAAGTGGTGCAAGTGGAGTGTATTTATGTCACATTGGGAAGTTTCCAGTGTGTATAACATGCTTTTGGGGTTGCCTTGCTAGCCCAAAGAGGGGTGCACCAGTCCAAGAATCTGGAAATCTGGGTGGTAGACCTGTACTGCCCTGAAGGAACTGCCTCACCCTGGGCAGGCTACCTGGTGTTTCAGTCATGTTTATCACCCAGTGAGAGACTAGTTCGTTCTGTGAAACTATCAAGCTCTAAGTGTCTCCTGAATCCAGATTGAAAGCTCTTTACATCGAAGAGATAACTGATTAGTGTTGCCCTTCATTTTAGAAATTCTTAAGATAATCACTGCATCAAAACACATACACAAACAACCATAAAAGGGACTGCACTGCCCAAGTGCTTTAACATGGCAGAGACAGTTCCTCTTATTTTGCAGTGTGTACACATGAAAATGAAGTGATTTTGTTATGTTTCTGGGGAAAAAGTATTTTTAAAAATTTCCTCCTAAGGAATTAAAATATCTGTAGAAGCCATGGCTTGCTTTTCTAACGTGGAAATTATTTGCCTTGCAGATCCCTCCTTTTATCAGGGAGAAAATGTCTTGCAGCCTGTTCTTTGTTCATGGTTTTGTTTCCTACTTTGATCAGTTGTATATAAATGTACATTTTTGTTACTTTTGCTGTGCCAGTTAGAAATCTACTTCCCATAAAGTATTTCTCCCATTTAAGTCCAATTATGTACACTTTGCCTAGGTCTTTCCAAAATAAAATTTATGTAAATGTTTATTTTATATAAAATATAATGAAAATAATTATGTCTCTTTCAGTCTCTCAAGTGCTCTGTGATTAGTACCCATTGAAATCCATGTCACTAGATGGGTCTGCTTTAAAAGAAAAAAAACTTCCTTCCTTCCCTGATTCATTCATTCATTCACTCACTCACTGCATTGTTCTGTGTGCTTCATGTCTGCGCTTTTGCACACCTCACAATGACGATTTCAGTCCTTATGCAGTCCTGATCTCTTCCTCTCATCTTGCTGAGTAGATGTCTTCACCTCTTCACAGAATAAACGAAAGTAGAAAACAGATATTCTCTCAGTATCCTATACTCATTCTACAAACTCACCTGTACTCAATTCTTCCCGCTCCTATTACTACAGTGGAAGAAGAGGGCCCTAGGCTCTGGATTTTGCCTCTTGTGAAGCTTCATCCCATCCCTTAACCTCTCTTGTTCATCTTTAACTTCTTCCTTCTACTGGCTCTTGTGAATTCTCTTCTATTTTAAAACACATATACCGATAGCCACCATCAAAATCATTTGGAAATAAAAATGAAGTCCTTTCTGTATTTCTTTTCATCTCTAGCTGCTACCATGTCTTTCTTCCTTCTCAGCCAAACTATTTGAGTGAATTGTCTTCACCTGTTTTTTCTACCTCCATCCTTCACATTCTCTCTGCTTCATAGTGATCTGTCCCTGCAACAAACATGCAAGTAATTGCTGTTTCTGAGGTCACCAATAATCCCCTTAGTGCTGAATCTTAGTGCAAAATCCCTTGTGGGACATGGGAGAGGGTTCTAGAGTTTACATCAGTGGTTTAGTCTGGATGGGAAAAATTTTTTACACAAAACATTATCTGCCCATGATTTGCTCATTGCTCATAGGTTAGTCACTAACACTCCTAATTGTACAACTATCCTTAGAGGTGGGGTTTCATTAAGGGTCTTGGAAGGCCTCCAATAGGAGAGTATCCTGCCATGATGAAGATATGTTCACATTAAAGGCAGATTTCTCATACGTCACAAATCCAATCTGGGATAGTTCAGCCCACTGTCCCTTCTTGACATCCTTCCCTTAACGTGTGTGTATGAATATTTCCATTTAGATGCTGTGACATCACCACAAACTCAACTTATACTTAAACCATCATCTTACTAGCAAATTTAAAACGAACAACCTATCAAATAGGTGTACAATTCATATTGAATAGCTCTTTTCCTATTTAATGGGAAGGCATTATTTTGGTAGGCCTATAAGGGACCAATCCTCATAAAAGGACAAGGTCTCACTTCAGGCTGTGAGTGTTGAACTCTGGAAACAAAGAGAGCTGTTCTGTAACAGGAAATGAGACCATGCCCAACCCCATGGAGACTTCTGGGAATGAAAGAAATCACTAAATATCCTGCAAAACTGTGTGTGCATCATGTGCAGAAGAGTGCAAACTGACGGAGTCTGCAGGCCCCATGTAAAGGTTAGCCATGAACTTGAACACTGTGGGTCCAACTATACTTGCACATCACATGAGCATTTTTCTTTCCCTCTCCCATTTTGTTTGGTAACAGCTTTGTAATGGTTTTAATCTGACTCCTTGCTAAGAAGAAAGAGGTATTTGGGTCCATCCGGAGGGTCTGAGCTTTTATTGGAGAGTGGTTTACCCCTGGGGCAAGGGATGGGTCTGATAATCCTTGTAAGATCACTACAGTGATGGGGCGCCTGGGTGGCGCAGTCGGTTAAGCGTCCGACTTCAGCCAGGTCACGATCTCGTGGTCCGTGAGTTCGAGCCCCGCGTCGGGCTCTGGGCTGATGGCTCAGAGCCTGGAGCCTGTTTCCGATTCTGTGTCTCCCTCTCTCTCTGCCCCTCCCCCGTTCATGCTCTGTCTCTCTCTGTCCCAAAAAAATAAATAAACGTTAAAAAAAAAAAAAATTAAAAAAAAAAAAAAAGATCACTACAGTGAAAACAAACTTTAAAGGTGAGGTGGTGAGCGGCATTGGTCAGGCAGCCACCATACCTGCGGATTTCCTTTGCAGTCCTCAAGCGTGGAGCCCTGGTGGTGCAGGGCTTTGTTTTCACAGAAAGGCTGCTTATACTGAGCTCCCTCCCAACTGTCCCCTGGACACCCAGGCCCCAAACCCAGGAGTCATCTACTAAAACTGTTATCCAAAGCGTCTTTATTTAAAATAAATAAAATGGTGCTTGCTATTTATTCTCAAGAGCAGTTCTCAATAGAACTATCTGTGATGATGGCAGTATCCTGTATCTGCTCTCCAATATGGTAGGCGCTAGCCACAGATGCCTATTGAGCCCTTGAAATATACCTAGTGTGACTGAGGAACTAATATTTTTACTTTAGTTTCTACTAATTTAACCACATGTGCCTCTAATCGGACAATGCTTCTTAATGTTGTAAGATGGGACACAGAAATCCGAGAAACCCCTTTTAGGTTCATGAGATAAGAAGGAGACTTTCAAGTTTCAGGGCCAATTACATTCTTTTAGTTTTTCACCAAAAGGTGCCCATTCATCTTCTGCTACCTTCTACAGTTACAGGGGTCATTGCCCCAGCTGATTCTCACCTGTCGGTACCTGCATTCCCTCCACCTTGACTATCTTCTGTTTTCCTGTCCATCTGTCTACTGCCTATCTCCCTAATCTGTATACCTCCTACCTTAAGGAGGTTTTATTTCTATTTTTCACAGAAGACAACTGGGCCTAGGAGATTGGTGTTAGTTATATATAGAATGTCCACGAGCTTTGCTCTAATTTTTTTGATGAAACATACATACATTACAAATTCTGGCTTTGTTCCTCTCTCAACCTCAAGCTAACATATTACAAAGTAATATTTATGGGAAATAATGCTGACATGATAGTATTACTGATGAATTCATTTTAATGATCTTAAATGATGGATCCTACAGCTTTGGCCCATTCCACTGAAGCTAATGACACAACCACCCGGAAAAGGGATGACAGCATAAACCAGCTCTCTCATACCCACTCTATTTGAAATTCTTGAATGGCAAAGGCTTCCACAAGCTTGTTAGAAGTAGGGGCAGTGCTATTAATGCCTCAGTAAGCTTCCAGGAGTCGGGGGCTTCCTCGCCCCTGGGTTTGGGCCACACTCCCTGGTCTGGGCCAGAATTCCCTGGCGCTGAGCATTCCAGGCCACTGATCAGATTCCAGATCACCTGGATCTGACGGTAGGGCCCTCTGCACACCTGTGAGCGGCGACCACCTCGAGGCCAGAAGGCGGGTAGCTGTGAAACGTGGGGCGGCCGCGCGTGGGTTGAGCGCGGGCCGAGACAGCTGTGAGCCGGCCGGCGCCGCAGGTGCGGCTCATTGGCGCCCGCGCAGGAGTGAAGAGCGCGGCCGGCGCTCCGCGGGGCTCGCTGCTGTCGCCGCTTTCCGCAGCTGCGGCGGAGGAAGCGGGGCGGAGTCCCGGCGCGTGGGGGCCATGCGGGAGCTGGCCGGGGCGGGTCTGCTGCTGTTGCTAGCCGTCGGCCTCCCCCAAAGCCTAGGTGAGCCCGGACCCCGGACCCTGGGCACCGAGGCTGTGGCCCAGGGCTGAGTGCTGGCGAGGGAGAGAGACTTCCTTACTCCCTCGGCCACGGAGAGGGAAGGGTGAGGGGCCGGTACAGGCCCAGAAGTTCCCAAAGACCGGCCTGCGCCAGGTTTTCTTTTGGAAATTGTTTGGATTCTGGAGTTCCAGGCTTTAGGCACTTATGCTAAGGCGCCTTCTCCACGGAACAATCGCCAATTAGAAGTAGCTCAAAACCAAATGTCTCTTTTCTGAGTAACAAATGGTGTTCTATGACCACCTAATTTACGTAATGCTCACCCTCCCAGAGTAACCCCCAAATCGATCCCCAGAGGGAAAGCGAGCTCATCCTACCCCCCCCCCCCCCCCCCCCCCCCCCCCCCCCCCCCCCCCCCCCCCCCCCCCCCCCCCCCCCGCCAAGCCCCCGGGGACTCCCTAACGCAGCTCAGGCTATAAAGAGGCAGGGGAGTCCTGAGGCAAGTTCTAGTCAACATGGGGTAATGGGGTAATTGTGGGATAGTCTTGGGAGTATCTTGAGAAAAAAAGAGGGATAGTCTGCTGCTTGGTGATATCAGAACGTCTGTGTGAGGCCAGGAAAGTCTGAAGGTGGAGTCTTGATCAAAGGAATCCTGACCTGAGGTGCTCCCGGTGCGTGCCCACACACACAGGTACTCTCTCTCACACACAGGGCTGAAGTGTGGGATCCCTGCTGTTGATGTCGAACGTAGGACAACTGTCTTGGATTCTGGGTTCTTCTCTGGAAGTACTCGCTGGAGGGATTCAGCAGTTGGTGGACAACCGTGGCAGGTCAGGATAACCAAAGCACTGAGCTCTTGAATGAGAGATGCTGACGTTTTCCTCTGGTTTCCAATATCACAGCTCTGGTTAACAGGTGATTTTTCTCTTAAGCCCATTCAACCCTGTCTGCCAAAATGTTTACTTCGGGGAAATCTCTTCCTAACCAATTGTATCGGTAACTTAAGAATGTTATACAAGGAGAGTTGACTTCAAGTGTTTCTAAAGGAGATGACATCACGGGGAGATGCATATTAGTTGTGTTCATACTTTTCTTCTTGGCAGGTCTCCCTAAAATTAGGTGAGCACCGCTTCTGTGCAGGAAGCTTGATCCAAGATGATCTGGTTGTTACAGCAGCACACTGCTTGGTTGGCCTCGATGAGTAAGTTGTGGATTTCCATTACTTATCAAACCTTGGCTCCTAGCAATGGGACTGAGAGATTTGAAGCTCTAAATACCCTGCAAAGTTCAATCCCCATCCCTTTCTGAATTTTTCCACCTCGTCCACCCACTCACTGACCTTCCTGATCCCAGGAAACCTTTATCTGTCTCAAGATTTGCTGTGCCTCCTACTCTACTAACTAGAGACCCCAGAGATCCTAGATGTCCTCTATACTTTGTGGAGTTAGTGGTGAGGTGGGGGCGATGGTTACTTGTTCTAATAAATTATTGACATTTATTGTTAAATGGAGGCTCCAACGTTTTAATAATACGAATTTCAGTCATTAGGAGGAAAAGAATACTGTGAAAAGAACTGATACTTAGCCAGATTAAGAGAGATGCTGATAATAAGAAAAGGACAGTTCTAGGAACAACTTTTGTATCTTGTTAAAAATGACAGAGCATATATAGACTAGTACAAAAAAAGAAAAAGAGGCTGCTCTTAAATATTTCATGCAGAACTGCAATTGTTGAGAGGGGAAAGGGTTCACAGAATGTGAACACTCTGATGGAAAGCCGTGACTTTACAGATCCCTATAATCTATAGGCAATTATGATAGTTGGTAGTAATCACTAATAAAGACTTAGAAATGAAGACTTAGAAATGCTTCAAGTTACATTAATCACTTTTCATTTAAGTGAGTGAAAACAAGACCGTCTTTCCTGGGGGCAACAGCTATACTTATTGGAACGTTTTTCTTTGGTTTTAGGAAGCAAATTAAGAGTCTGACTGTGACTGGGGGGCACAACCTCTTTCCGGAGGGTAAACAGGAACAGAAGATTCCTGTTTCAAAAATGATTATCCATCCTGAGTACAACAGACTTGGATATATGAGCTCTGATATTGCACTGCTGTATTTGAAACACAAAGTCAAGTTTGGTAAGTAAGGGGAGTTAGCATATTTTAAAAATGTAGGAGAAAAGTGTGCTTTATTAATTCTGTACCAGTTAACAATTAATTTCTGTGTATATCTGGTACTATTAGAATAGCTAAGTTTTGTCCTTCTTAAAATTTTGTTTATAACATATAAAAGCACTGTAAAGATTGAAAGTCCCAGACACAAATTCTGTATGCTTAACTTAATCTGCATTTTAAGACTTTTGTCTTGACTGGGCTATATTCTAGACTTATACTCAGCTCCAGCCTGGGACTTTGGGACATTTGAAAATGTTTTCAGAGACTTCTTTCTCTCCTCATTATGGACTAGATATCTGACACTGAGCACAGGTAATCTAAACATTTTAGAAAAAATTTTTAGAATCTTTTTGTTTTTAATGCAAAAAAGTAAAGTGATCCATGACCCAAAACAATGAAGGAGCACAAATCTAGAAGAATTGGCCAGGCATTGAAAGAAGCCACTTCCCTTGAGGCATCCCATTGATCTTTAAGAACCTAGAGCTTTAACTTGTCATGCAAGGAGCCTATATGGCAGGAGAGGTGGGGGATGGGTGAATCTGATCTGTGTCTCCCATGTAACCCCTGACTTCACAACAGGTGATGCTATGAAAGACAGGGGGAAAAAAGAGAGAGATATGGCACATTAAGTGAGGGTATCAGGAAACTTACCTGCTTGAATCTTGGCTCTGGATGGAAGGTTCCCTGAAGGATCTGTAATCATGAGCAAGCAAGCCTCATTCAAGTTAGATGCTGGAATTCCCATCACCTATGACCAAAAAAAAACTATTGCCCTTTTCCCTGTTTCCCTTTATAGAAAAGCTATGAAGTTCCACTTATGGGAGGTATGTTGTTTTCCTCTCCTCAGTTCTCATAATTGTGTGTATTAGGTCTGAGATCTCTGTTAGACATCCAAATTAGACTTTCACCCCGACCTGCCACCAAATCTGCTCTTGTCACAGGCACTGCCCTCCATGTTGCTAAATTTCAAAGGTAAATTCTCAATCCTCAGCTTACTTGGCACGAGTTTAGACAGACTGGCTCATACTCTCCCTGGAAACATTTTCTTCAGTTGAGTTCCAGGAGTCCCTTGGTTTTCCTCCTACCTCTTTTTGCACCCTTTGTTAGTCTTCTATGATGATACCTCCTCCTCTTTGTGACCTCTGTTGGAGTGCTCAGTCCCTGGACCTCTTCTCTATCTGCCCTCCTTTAGTATTCTCATCCAGGTTCAAGGTTGTAAACACCATCTGCTTGAAGACTAACCCAAATGTTACCTATCACACATGCTGCTGGGATTAATAGGAGTCGTATAGCTAACTGCCTACTGGTCACCCACCCGGATGGCTAATAGGCATCTCAAACTTAATATGTTTAAAACAGAATCTTGTCCCTTGTATCCTAAATCTACTTTACCCATAGCCTTTGATTTTGATGAATGACAGCTCTGCCCTTCCAGTTGTTTAAGCTAAACACTTTGCACTCAGTCTTAAATCTTCTTTCTCTCACATTGTGTACCTAATCCATCACAAAAGTCCCATGGCTTCTGCCTCACCCGGCCTACTCTTACCATCCTGTTCCAGGCTACCATCCTTTCTTGCTTGGGTTAATTTTAATGGTCTCTTAAATTGTCTTTAGCTTTCTCTTTTGAAAGCCTAATTATTATTAACCTAACAACCAGAATAATACTTTTTAAAATCTAGGTTATGTCACTCTGTTCGAAACACTTCAGTGGTTCTTCATTACACTCAGATGGAAATCAATATTTTTATCAATTGCCATCTCTGTCCTCTTGGCCCTATATCTAGCCTGTTTTTTGTTTTTTCACTATTTTTTTCCCCTTAATCTGTTCCAGCTATTCTGGCCAACTGTTCTCAAGCATATATGACATTATCCCACTGCAGGGACTTTCCATTCTGTTTCTTATTTTCTTGAAATACTTTCTGCTCAGATAACCACTTGGTTTCAAGGCTTTACTCAAATGTCATCTGATCAGGGGCACCTGGGTGGCTCAGTAAATTAAGTGTCTGACTCTTGATCACAGCTCAGGTCTTGATATCAGGGTGGTGAGTTCAAGCCCTGCATTGGGTTCTAGGCTAGGTATGAAGCCTACCTAAAAGAAATGTTATCTACTCAAAGGCACTTGCCATGACTATCATATTTAAAACTACATTTCCCATGCCATCTTCCCTAATCCCCAGACTTTGGATCTTCTTTACCCTACTCTGATTTTTCCGGAGTGATATTACCTAACAACCAAATAAGTTATTTTATTTATAATTTGCATTCCTGCTACCCCAACACACACCCTTGTATGTAAAGGATTTATCTTTCTGCTAATTTACTGGAGTCTAGAAAAGTGCTTGCCACATAGTAGTACTGGATTACCATTAGGGGAAACTATCCTTTAGAAACAAGGGTATACCCTCAGTGGAATAGAATATAGAACCCAGAAATTGACGCATGCCTATATGGTCAATTAATCTTTGGCAAAGCAGCAAAGAACATCCAATGGAAAAAAAGAGTCTCTTCAACAAAGGTTGTTGGGAAAACTGGACCACTTTCTTACACCATACACAAAAGTAAATTCAAAATGGATGAAAGACCTAAAGGTGAAATAGGAAACCATCAAAATCCTAGAGGGGAACACAGGCAGCAACCTCTTTGACCTTGGCCATAGCAGCTTCTTACTAGACTCCGGCGGCAAGGGAAACAAAAGCAAAAATGAACCATTGGGACTTCATTAAGATAAAAAGATTCAGCACAGTGAAGGAAATAATCAACAAAACTAAAAGGCAACCTACAGAATGGAGAAGATACTTGCAAATGACATACTGGGTAAAGGGCTAGTATCTAAAATCTATAAAGAACTTACCAAACTCAACACCCCAAAAATAATCGAGTTAAGAAATGGCAGAAGACATGAACAGACATTTCTCCAAGGAAGAGAAATTTGGAGAAATTTGGATGTTGATGCTCAACATCACTCATCAAAGAAATAAAAATCACAACCACAATGAGATATCACCTCACAACTGTCAGAATGGCTACAATTAACAAGTTAGGAAACTACTAATGTTGATGAGAATGTGGAGAAAGGAGAACCCTCTTGCACTGTTGGTGGGAATGTAAACTGGTGCAGCCATTCTGGAAAACAGTATGGATGTTCCTCAAAAAGTTAAAAATAGAACTGTCTTATGACTTCTACAATTACACTACTATTATTTATCCAAAGGATACAAAAACACTGATTCAAAGGGGTACATAAATCCCAATGTTTATAGCAGTATAGTAGCTCTATCAACAATAGCCAGATTATGGAATGCCCATGAACTGATGAATGGATAAAAAAAGATACATGCATACACATATATACATACAATGGAATATTATCACTCAGACATCAAAAAGATTGAAATCTTGGTCATTTGCAAAGACATGGGTTGAGCTAGGGTTTATTTTGCTAAGCAAAAGAAGTCAGAGAAAGACGGATACCATGATTTCACTTATATGTGGAATTTAAGAAACAAAACATGAACATAGGGGAAAGGAAGGGAAAATAAGATAAAAACAGAGAGGAAGGCAAGCCATAGGAGACTTTTAATGATAGAGAACAAACTGAGGGTTGCTGGAGGGGAGGTAGGTGAGGGGATGGGCTAAATCGGTGATAGGCATTAAGGAGGGCACTTGCTGGGATGAACATTGGGTATTATATGTAAATGATGAATCACTGACTTACACTGAAACCAATACTACACTATATGTAGACTAACTTGAATTTAAATAAAATCTTGGAAGGGAAAAAAAAGGACAAGTGTATACCCTAAAATGTTAGTTTTGGAGGGTCAAGGTGGTGTGTATAACACTGGATTATGTTCTTCCTATTTTACTTTTTCTGCATTTTTCTAAATTTCTACAAATATGGAATAGTTTTTTATGAGAGGGGAAAACTTAAAATATATATCAATATTATATTTAGAGGGAAAGTGTAGAAGCCATGAAAACAACTGGATGTTACTTTTCTAAATATATTCAGCATCACTTGCCTATCTAGGAACCTTAAAATTTTCTTTTTCCAGGAACTGCTGTTCAGCCAATCTGTCTTCCCCATAAAGATGATAAATTTGAAGCAGGGCTTCTTTGCATGACCAGTGGATGGTGCAAGATTTCAGAGAGTAAGAGGCATCAAAAAATATATAGTAGTTTTAGATTTCTTTGCCCACTAGAAGCAGAAATTGTATTGGCCACGAGTAATATATTTATCCTATTTTGTTTTTGTTTTTTTCCCGAGTTATAATCCAGTGAGAATTTCTTGTTGTTTTCACCATAAAAATGTCTGTATCTAAGGCTCAACATAAAACTTCTGCTGACCATTTTGGTTATGATGTGTCAGAAAAAGAAAACCAGCAGTAACAAGGACAGATGAAGAAGAATACAGTAAAGGGATAATCAGGAAATAGTCACAATAGTTAAATTTCCTTGTCTTTAATATTATGATTTTTCAAAATTAAGAATTTCACAAATACTGCTTTATTGACTAAAGTTTTCCACTTAGGAAAACTTGAAGTATATGGTTAGGAAAGATACAATTGCCTATATTACCTTAAAAAAAATCTGCTAATAAAAAAATGTCCTTTATCACATATCTGATTTTAGGAAAGAATATAATTCACACCTTACAAAAGGACTTCCACATTTTGATTAAACATAGTTGAAATAGGTTTTTTTTTTTTAACATTTATTTATTATTGAGAGACAGACACAGAGCGTGAGCAGGGGAGGGGTAGAGAGAGGGGGAGACACAGAATCTCAAGCAGGCTCCAGGCTCTGAGCTGTCAGCACAGAGCCCAAAGCGGGGCTCAAACTCACAAACTGTGATATCATGACCTGAGCCGAAGTGGGATGCTTAACCAACTGAGCCACCCAGGTGCCCCTAAACATGGTTGAAATAGTTTTATACTTGTAAGGTTCTTACTGATTTGTTTCAGTGAGGACAATTGTTGACTAACTCATCAGTCCATCTCCACAGCATCAGAGTATTCAGATGTCCTACAAGAAGTGGAGCTTCCCATCATGGACGACAGAACGTGTAATTCTGTGCTGACGGGTATGAATTTTCCTCTCCTGGGGAGGACCATGATGTGTGCCAGTTTTCCTGATGGGGAAAAGGAGGCCTGTCAGGTAAAAAGCATAAGCCAGCCCAGTTATTCAGTATCATATAAGTGATAGTGGATTCTGCCTTTTCCCATGAGCTGCTTTTGGGGAATAATTGCTTCAACATTCTTTTTTTGTTCATCTTTCCACCATGCTTCTACTGAAAAGGTTTACTTGACCTGGCCTGAGAGCATTCTTTCCTGTTCCGTGCCCATTCTTACCCCCACCCCTCTTTTTGGGAAGATGGAAGGAGGGAAGATGGGGAGGGGGGTTCAACATTTCCAACCTAATGCAATGGTGCAAGAGCACTTTGGCTCTATCTGATTAGGTCTATCTGTGAATTATTTTTCATTCCACTTTTTGTTAAACATTGTGACTTTTTTTAAGTGTTGAGTGCAGAATGCAATGTTTGTACAATGTTTGACCAAAGATGGCACAGCTATGGTAACTGTTGGTTAAAACATGTTGTGAATGACCTCCCAAGCCTGACTACAGTAGCTTATAAAGAAGTCCGATCTTCACAAGTTAGAGGAAAAGGAGACCAATTTGTGAAAGACATGAGTTTTAAGTTTTAGATAGAGAAGATAATTTACTTGGAAAACCACTTTTTTTTTTTTTAATTGGAGGAGTCGGGAGTTTTTATTCTTCCCCGGCAAGCAGCTTGAAACTGCTGTAGGAAGCTCCCTAAAATTATCTGTTGGAAAATTTCTTGACTTTTTTGTTCTGGAGCAAGGGGGCAGGTGGTGACAGGACAAGGAGCGGGGAGAGTTTGGAAGGGAAGAGATAGAAATTTACAATTATCCCACTTTCTAAATTGGGACACAGATAGATTAAGGGTGTTTTATCCTGTCTGCATCCTTGAGAGGCAATCCTTGGGGGGTGGGCGGTTAAACCCTCAATTCTCTGCCTTTTGAAGAGGGTTTAAGTCTGGCACAGAATTGACCCATGTTCCCAAAACACCACATTATTATGAAGGATTATTAAAGAAAGGATCCTAAAATCATGGGTTCTTTATCCTCTACTCTGAGAACCAACAGTCCTATACATATAGCCCCTGGGACAAAATTAGGCCTCTGTTCTGTTCTGAGAGCCTTCAGCCATTGCATGAACTTGACTCAATTCACTGGTGCTGTAGGCTTGGATATGACCCAGTCTTTCCTAGCAATTCCAGATGGCAAAGTAGAGCGGAAGAATGTACCTGTCAATTCCCCCTGCTCCTTTCACTGGTTGCAGAATGCATGTGGTTGTTCACAAACAAGTAGGGGCAAGAGAAAAATTAAGTGTTAGCTCAACAAGATTGCAGGCACTAATTGTAAGGAGGTTACATTTGGGCAAAAAGACTGTACCTTGACACTAATGATGAAGAGGCAAAAAAATGGATTAAAAAAATGTTGATTGATAGTAACCAGTGGGTATATATGCCTCTACTACTTCTGTCTTTGGGATGAGTGCTGTTTGTTGTTGTGCTGAAATACTTTTTTTTTTTTTAATTTTTTTAAATTTTTTTTAACGTTAATTTATGTTTGAGACAGAGACAGAGCATGAATGGGGGAGGGCCAGAGAGACAGGGAAACACAGAATCTGAAACAGGCTTCAGGCTCTGAGCTGTCAGCACAGAGCCCGATGCGGGGCTCGAACTCATGGACCATGAGATCATGACCTGAGCTGAAGTCAGACACCTAACCGACAGAACCACCCAGGCACCCCTGTGCTGAAATACTTTTAACTCGTGAATATTTTCAAGTTTCATCTTTTTCTGTCCCACAAAAGGGAGACTCTGGAAGTCCATTTGTTTGTAGAAGAGGCAATGGAATCTGGGTCCTTGCTGGGATAACTTCCCAGGGAGCTGGTTGGACTAGAGGTTGGCCTTTAAGAAATAACCATAGAAGGGCATCACCTGGCATTTTCTCCAAGGTGTTTGAGTTGATGGATTTTATCACTCAGAACACATTCACAGGTAGGTATAATTTCTGTGAATTCATCCTTCTGCCTTTTGTTCTAAATCAAAAATTGATCATGCTTATTTCAAGGGTAGTTATTCTGATATGTTGCAGATATAATCAGAACTAAGCTGTAAAAGAAAGGATGACTTTGTCTGGTTTTCAATTCCTAATCCAATGTATATAAACTTAAATCTCTGAATTCATGAGAACTGATCTCTTTCAGTTTAACTTGAACTTAACTTGGACGAGCCTGAATCTTCAAGTTTATGGTCATGTAGATTTTCATGAGATATGGGTCTTTTTTTTGTAATGATGAGATTTTTAAAAAAATAGTCTTTGAGAAAGGATTCTTGCTTCATTTATCCAGGTGACATACCTTTTTCCCCTAAACTAGTTTAGAGCACTAAAAATAAATTACTCACCTCCCATTTTCCCCACTCACCTTTGTTAATTTTACTTGACAACAGTGGGGAAAATAAGGGAGGCCTTGGAGGGTTACTTTGTTTTGCAGCACTAAAATCTAGAATTAGGAAACAAATGTGGGTCTGGAGATGCCAAACCTGTCCTCAGGGAACTTTCCTACTATTTGGGAAGACAGAGGAGTATGTTGGCCCAGTGATGAAAGATGAGCTAAGCTAAGCTACAAGGTGAGCTAAGCCCCTGAGAGCTGTCAGAGCACTGAGGACAAGGCAGAGGGGCTCAGTCCCAAGGGATACAAGGTTTGCCTTGCAGAGGGACAGCACCTGCGCAAGAGGGCAGCCTTTGCAGAACATAGCGAGTGAGGACACACAACTTACAGGACCAAGCAGTTCAGTACAAGAAGCAAGTCGTTTCAAGGCCGGGAGCCAGAGGGTCAGAGCACAGGGCTTCCTCCAGCCTTCCCTCATTGCAGTCCAAGATCAGCCACCTTGCTGATGATTCGAGAAGCACCACTGTTAACTGGTCCAGCTGAGCACCAGAGCTCCCTCTGACTAGAGCAGGCTTGCCACTCCGATTTGGACCTCAGAGTGAAAGTGTTCTGTTCATTGTCATTACTGCACAGGGAGAGTCTCTCCTGGTAGCAATTCTATTCAGTTTTCATCACCTGAAAGAGAAGGTTAAAAGGATTAATAAGCCCTGAACAAAGGTTAACAGTAACAATATTTTAAAATGGCAATGAAATCAGCCAGTAATGGTTAATTCCACAGTCAAATAATAGCACAATGTGACAATTTATTTAAATAATACTTCCTTAACATCATCTAAGCTTCTCATGCCACAGTTGCCTATTTCTTATAGTTTCAACAATTAAAATGTGACACTGGAATTTGAAATTGCTGAGTGCATGATAGAGACTTGACATGTCCCTGCTAAAATTTGTGTACTTTCGGGGAGCCTGGGTAGCTCGGTCAGTTAAGCACCTGAATTCGGCTCAGGTCATAATCTCATGGTTCATGAGTTCAAGCCCTGTGTCAGGCTCTGTGCTGATGGCTCAAAGCCAGGAGCATGCTTCAGATTCTGTGTCTCCCTTTCTCCCTGCCCCTCCCCAACTTGTGCACTCGCTCTCTCTCAAAAATAAACATTAAAAATTTAAATATAAAAAAATTTAAATATAAAACTTGTGAACTTTTACTTTAGTATTTTTATACAAAGGCATTTTATTATAACCCAGGATATCCTAGTGAGAGATGGGGGAGAAAGCCATATTAGTGCCATGTAATATAAATTTGAAACCTCGATGTGACTCATGATTTGCAAAAGCTGGATAAAGAAATATTAAATCTGAAGAACTTGGGTAAAGAAAAGAACATTATGATTTATAAATTATCTCAGTGAAGTCTAAGTACAGTGTCTAGGTCAAAGCATCTAAAAACATGCATTCCCATAAATATAAATTATATAAATTACAAAGCTTCAAGCTATGTATCATATATCTTGAAATTCTGTTCATAGCTGAAGTAAATAATCAACTTTTTTCTACATTTTGAAAGATTGTAGATCGGAGAGAACAGTGTTATTTGGAGAAAATGGGAAGATTCGTTACCACCATTCCAAAGAAAGCAGCTGTTCTCATAATTGGTATGTATCCAAGGTAGGATGATTCTTGGGTTTCCGCCCCCCAATATCAGGCCACTTAAGGGGCTATGTTTTGTGAATTTTGTCTAGTATTTCAATTTCTTAATCTGCTTAACATAAAAGTCTATATGTTTCATCTGATATTTTCTGATTAGCAAACATTTGCTGGTTGGTATTTCTGCTATCCACCGATACAAATCATCAGCACAAGTAGTATTAAGACTGGAGCTTATCTGAATTGATGTTTTCAAATGTCCAATGTTGAAAGCATCTGCTAGTGAGATTGTTACGGGAATTTAGTGATGAATCCTTTCCTACTTATTTCTGTAATAATGGTGATATTTTATTTCCCAGAAGATGGGAAATAGCTGGAGATGAATATGCTTCACTGTCTTTAAATTTTTTCTACATAGTCTGTCCCCTCTAAAGATATCTTTAAGCTTTAGAAATAAGTTTTGCAAGTATTTCACTTCCTCAAGTGTTCTGAATTTTAAAAATTGTATGAGCATTTAAAGATATGCAAAGGTAGATCATAGTTCTGTGAGTTTATAATCTGGTAAGAAGAAAGAGCTGGATAAAAAACTATACTGTAAAACAAGACCAATAAGCTTTATAATCCACACTACCCAGGCGTAGGGTGGTATTTTGGAAAATAGAAAGACTAATTCGCATTGCAGTGGTTTGTGAGGCATGTGTGTGTTTATACCGTGGTTGGGAGACATGGAGGTAGGAATGTTTTAGTGAAGGGGATAGTATTGAAACTACGCATTGAAGGATAGTTATAATTTTATAGCTCATGAAGTTGTTTATAGCTCTAGTGTCTAAGAGATTTCAACATCTTGCCACGTAGAGGGGAGAATGTGTAAGAAATGTCAGGGAGGTAGAGAATATCATGGTTGTTTGGACAGTGTGAGTCACAGGACAGCTGGACAGTAATGTTAGCATAAATAAGAACTGGTATTGCAGTGGACAATGAAGATAAAAAGGCTGGTTAGCTCTTAGTTATAGAGGGTCTTAAATTCCATGAGGAGAAGATTAGATTTTTTTGCTGTAAGCAATGGGAAACTAAAATGGTGGCAAGATTATAATTTATAAAATGGATGTATAATGACCTGTAGATATTTGTTGTAAATATAGAAAGGAAATAATGTGGCTTAATTTCAGCCAATATTTAAAAGGCTTAAAAGTCTAAGTTGAGGAGCACCTGGGTGGCTCAGTTGGTTTAGTGTCTGAATCTTGATTTCAGTTCAGATCATAATCCCAGGGTCAGGAGACCAGGCCCTGCATTGGGCTCTGTACTGAGAATGGAGGCTGCTTATGATTCTCCCTCTCTCCCCCCTTTCCCCAGGTTGTATGCACACTGTATCTCTAAAATAAAATTTTAAAAAGTCCAAGTTGACTTTCTGTGTGTCAACCTAGTAATGTAATACCAATAAAGGCTTTGCCATTTTTGCTTAAACTTTGAGGAAAATAGCATCTAGAATAAGAGTGAGAGTCCTATTTTATTAGAGTCCTGGGCAGGGGCATTGGGAGGGGTCTCCAGGTACAATCTTTAGAAAGAGGCATTGATAAGCTAGAAATTATCTGAAGGACAATGGCTAACATGGAAAGAAATTTGGAATGATATCTTGGGGGATATGGTAGAAGGAACCAGGAATGGTTTTGATGCAAAGAAGACTTGAGAGGAGGAAAGAACTGTCTTGTCTGAGGATCTACTACAGAAGCAGAACTGGACTTGCTCCAGTGAAGTGCAGAGCTGAGAATGAGGAGCTGGAAGGTTAGGAGAAAGCAGATTTCAATCCAATATAAGGTAGTTTCTTTTTTTTTTTTTAATTTATATTATTCATTTGGGGGAGGGAGGGGCAGAGAGAGAGAATCCCAAGCAGGTTCTGCACTGTTAGCATGCAGTATGATGTGGGGCTCAATCCCACAAACCACAAAATCATGGCCTGAGCCAATATCAAGAGTCAGACGCTTAACTGACTGAGCTACTCAGGCACCCTGCAATAGAAGGTAGTTTCTAATGGCCTTCCTCAGGGGTAATGAATTTCCTTTATAAGTAGATATTTGAGAAAAGCATGGATGGTTATCAGTGAAGTTGTAGAAAGCATTTGTACATTGGGCTAAGAGACATGCAGATGACAGCCAATTTACCCTCAAGGAAAGAGAACCTGTGATTCAACTTAGACAATGAAGTATTGAAGAGATTTCTGCAGGAAAGACTTTCAAGGCAAAAACGGTTGTTATCAGTGTTAGATATTGCAGAAGGCAAAATGAGGTGAGATAAAATGCCATTGGATATGGCAGCTAATTGAGTAGAATTGTAGGATCAGGAGCTATATTCATAACTGGCTGAGTGGTTGTTAAAGACTTGGTATCTTTCCTTCATCAAATAGTCAAAACATTTTTATCAAAGCTTTAAGATGTGCCAAGCACTGTTTCAGGTGCTAGAAATAAAGCAGTGAATGAAACAGACAGAAATGCTTCCTTTGGAGACGAGTTGGCAAGTGGAGAACAGGGGTAATACGAATAGCATTATAAATAATAGTAGGAGGTGGTAAGCGCTATGCAGAAAACCATAGCAAGAAGGTGGGATGGTTGTGCAATATTAGAGAAGTTGCTCGGGAAAAGCCTAATTATAAGGATGATATTTGAACAAAGACTTGAATAAGATGTGGGAGGGAATCATATGGTCATCTTGGGAAGGAACATTCTTTGCAGAAGGAATGGCATATGTGAGGCAGGAAAATTTTTGGTATATCTGGGGAACAGTAGAATCAAAGCACTAGAGCTAAGTGATGGGTGGAAATGGTCATGGTTAGCGTGGTCAGACTTAGAAGACATAAGAAGGACTTTTTTGAATTTTACTACAAGATGTATTGTCATTGGAGGACTTAGAGCAGACAAGGAACATGATCTGACACACTTAAAAAGGATCACTTTGGTTGTTTCATTGAAAATAGACCATAGGGGCACCTGCATGGCTCGGTCAGTTGAGCGTCCAACTCTTGATTTCAGCTCAGGGCATGATCTCATGGTTCATGAGTTCAAATCCTGCATTGGGTTCTGCAATGGCCCTACAGATTCTGCTTGGAATTCTCTCCCTGTCTCTCTGCCTCTCCCCTGCTTGTGCACGCATGCTCTCTAAATAAATAAATAAACTTAAAAAAAAAAAGAAAAGAAAATAGACTCTGGAAGGGAAAGACCAAGAGCTGAGCCCTGTTAGTGTCATTGGTATCGACACCAATAATCCAGGTAAGCATGATGGCTTGGGACCAGGTTTGCAATAGTAGAGGAGGTGAAAAGTGATAGAACCACAGGATTTGATAGTGAGTTGAAAATGTGGGTTGTAAGAGAGAGAGAGAGAGAGCCTTATAATTAACATGAGGGTTTTTGACCTGTAGGAGGCATGGGAGTGAGGGTTTGCTGCCCTTGTTTCAGATGAGGAGACAGTTAACAGTGAAGGGAAAGAGGAAGACAGGACAGTGGCTTTGGATAGTAGGACAGGTTTCAAGAGAAGCAGGGTTTTTTTGTTGTTGTTGTTGTGTTGGGGTGGGTGGGTTAGGCTTAACTGTGCTTATGAGCAGAAGAAAGAGTAAGATGAGTCAAGAGAAATGTATAAATACATGAAGGATGTTTCATGAGAACACAACAGTTAAAGAAGATTTAGCTTTGGAAAAAAGAATAATCACTTTCCTGAGAAAGCAACAACAACAAAATTCAGGTTACCTATAAGAAGGTTAAATGAATTTACACTAGATGTCTTCTTAGTAATTGTAAGGTTTTAGCTGCTTCAAGTTTAGAGGATGAAGTTGAGATTAAATAGTTAAGATACTTAATAGCATGTAAGGACTAAAATGAATCAACCAGAGATTAATGGGAAGACTTTCAGCAACTTTACAACTCAGTATTAGCATGAATTGATACTGTAGTTCAGCAAATCTAAAACAAACTGGTTGTAAAATTGTTATTTTATGTACTCAACAAAGAAATAAAAAATACCCCAGATCAGGAGATTTCAAATAAAGATGGGACACCAAAAGCTGTATGTTCAGTGTAAGGCTAAACCAGGCACACGCCCACCCACGTGGAAAGCTACATGCCCCTACCTTGACACTGGTGTAGAGAGGGGTAAAAATCTTCTCTGAGATTTTGAATCACAAGCTAATACTTATGCAGGTATGTAGTCTAAAATTCCCACCACCTGTATAGTCTGAAACACCTGAAAATAACGTAAGTAGCATGCAGTTGATAGTGCACCTGGGTGACTGGCCAGAGATCATTCCTCTCTGCAAGAACTGTGTCCATCTAAGTCTAAAAGAATTAATTGTAAGACTATACTGTAAGAACCTTCTGATTCTGGAATGTTCCAATGTGGAGGAAAAAACATGTGCCTTAGAAATGTAATGCGATACGGAATCAATCTCCATCTTCGTGATTTCTCCATTATGCTAAGCAGCCTTGAGAATGGTAGAAGGATTAATTAAAGATGGAGTTAATTAACTAATGTTAAGATAGAAACAAATAATGTGAAGAAGGAGCAAGGAGTTACATAGTTCCTCCAAGCCTATCTTTATTCTGCTGGGTGGTACCTAGATTCTGAGACCTGGCAGATAAAGGACACTCAGGTCATCTCTCCCCTTCCATGCCTGTGGGAGACATTGCATTTCTAAGAGCCTAGAACAGTGCCTGGCATATAATAATGCTCAATAAACATTTGAATAGGTAAATCAAGGCTTAATTTTGGTAATCCTCTCTCACTTAGCTTGATTAGACCTCAGAATCCTTTGCAACACAGCAGTCACTAACAACAAACCAGGTTGGCATATGATTTGAAATCTGTTTTCTATCACTGAGGTAGGGATTTTGAGGTAGACAATAATTTGATGAACAGGAGAAAGTACTTGCCTTTGAAGCCATGAAGCCCAACCTATACTTCCTATTACGTGTGAGGTGTGATGAGTCTTTTAATATCATGACAGTTTTCTTATTTGGAATAAGGGGAATAATTTCTCCCTGCCCACTTCAGAGGGTCATAAAGAGCCTAAATAAGGATGATAGATGTGGAGTGCTTTTTCAATTGAAGTGCCTAAAAAAGTGAGCTTTGTAATATTTTAGACAGCTTATTGTTTTATAAATTGAAGTACTTAAAGAGGGATTTTAATAATATTTAAGCAGCCTATTTTGACCTCGATGTTCAAGATGATGGACTTGAAAAAGTGAAGCAGGGAGTTTCTGGTTAAGAAGATATTTAGTAAGAATTGTTACATTTGGTTTTTGGAAACAGGGCATTAAAAAGCTGGATAACTCCTACAGTCCTGAACACTTATTACTTAGAGGGCAGTGATACTGTTAAGAGGTCTAAGGCTGTTGATGGAGTGCCTGGGTGGCTCAGTCAATTAAGTTGTCTGACTCTTGGTTTTGGCTCAGGTCATGATCTCATGGTTTTGTGGGTTCGAACCCTGCATTGGGGTCTGTGCTGGCAGTGTGGAGCCTGCTTGGGATTCTCTCCCTCTCTCTCTCTCTCTCTGCCCTTCCCCCGCTCATGCTGTCTCTCTCTCTCTCTCTCTCTCTCAAAAATAAATAAACTTAAAACAATTATGTAAAAAAACCACAACAACAAGAAAGGTCTAAGTCTGTTGGGAAAGACTGCCAAGTTTTAGAAAGAGGTTTGTTCTGACACGTTAGATTCCAGGTAAGAGTGCTTTGCAGCCCAATGAATGTGAGGCACAAAAGATGCTAAGTATTTACGGTCTGCTGGGGTTTCTTTTCTTTAATAATACGAATTCGTGTAGGAAAATAAAAGTAAAAGATTATGTGTTAAATTATGTAAGACTCCTTTCAAAATGTTTAGACATATTTCTAAAGATGTTAATAAAAGGTCACAGCTGACCTTACTGGGAGTTAGGAAGGTGACATTGCACCTGCAGGGACTGAGATCCAGGCTGACCTTGGAGGATGTGGCTGGTTAGAGTTAACATATGCAGCATGGTCAATCCATAATTCATGACCCATAATTTGACTTCTGGGTGAAAACTATGAATTTTCAATTAGGCTAATAAGTTAGAACAAAGAGGTGAATCTTAGGGTTTTCAATTTACAGATCAGAATCCTAGCATTTTATAACTGAATGAAATTTAAAGGGTGGTTTCCGGCCACTCTCTAATTAATGCCTCTATTTGTTGGATAAATGCCAGCAATTTGAGCCTATCCAAATTATTCTTACATAAGGAACTTCCATTGCCTATTATCTTCTAATAGTCTTTATGATTTTTGTTACTGGTAAGTTATGAGCTAAAGCCCATATATTAGATCTTATTTGTCACACTTGACTGTCCCATTTATTATACTTTCTCCACCTTCCCCTGTCTAGCTTATGTATGTGGAAAATAATGGTACCAGAAGATAAAATTATCCTGATAAAATTTGCAAGCTTAGACATACAAAATCAAGTTGGTTGTGACCATGGCTATATATCTTTACAATCAAGCAATGGAGTGCTTATTAGTACGTATGTTACATTTATTTTTTCTTGTCATGTTAGAGTACCTGAACAACTGAAGACATGCAAAGGGACCTGAAGTTAGATATCTGCCATAGAACACTTTATATGCTGTCCCTTTCCTGAAGGGGCAGATGTGTGTGGTAAGAGAGGAACCAATGACTGGCATGTTGAGTGAGCTATTCCCTTCTCAGGTTGAGTAGCAGTTTTTTTTTTTTTTTT